GTCCATCGAAGAAGAAAAACGAGGCGCCGCCAGGGGGGTGAGGCCCAGCGCGGATCCAAGAAATTCGCGCGGAGCGCCAAAAGTGTGTGTTTTTGGCGCGTTTGTTTTCTAGCTAACCCTGCGTCGGCGGCTAGACTGAGGAACTGCGCTGGCGAAAAGCTGACTAAACGGGGGTACCGGTGTGGCGATCTGTATAGAAGAGACGGCCGAAAGAGGGGGGGAGAGGCGCGAGGCAGCCCACCAATGAACAAACACACACGAGGCGCTTGTACTCTCCGCCCAGACGTCAGGCACCCGGAGCGCACATCGAGGCTGCCTCCTCTTCCTCTTCCTCCTCTTCCTCCTCTTCCTCCTCCTCCTCTTCCTGCTCCTCCTCTGTAAATGTCCGACTATTTACAGGGTGTGCTGTAAGTCTAGGAATTCTGATCTGGATAGATGGAAATCTGAGAGGTACAATTTTGGGGACACTGCAGTGAGAGGATCCAGTGCGCTCCAGGCTGTTTTACTTCGTGAGCTCGGTCACGAAGTTGCCCGTATCCTCGGGCTGTGCTCGGTCGGCGCCCATTGGGATCTAAAGCGATTTTTCGACTCGGTTCAGCCGCACAGGCTGATCGAGCTTGCTGTGAAGATGGATTACCCGCTCCACCTCCTCCACCTCGGTATTCTTATTCAGGAGTTTCCCTGAGTGCTAGAAGTTGGTGGTTTCGTTTCTGGTCTCATCCCTCCTGGGCGAGGTATACTAGCGGGGGGTCTGCAATCCATGTCTTGGGTTAAGATGTATGTGTATGATACCTTGGACCTGGCGCATAAGCAATATCGCCCTGTAGAGGTGAAAGCTTACGTTGACGACATCACCCAGTCTCAGGCAGGCCATATGAAGGATGGCTTGCACTCTTTAGTCCCTGCTGCTGTGTTGTTGGCCCACCAGTTTGAAGGAGTTGGGTGCACCATCTCGTCCAAGTCTGCTCTTGTGCGTAGTCACGCAGAGCTTGGCCGTGAGCTTGCCGCGCGTTTCAGGGCGACTGGATTGCCCATCAAGCTCCAAGCAACGGCTCGAGATCTGGGGGCCATGACCAAGGCAGGAAAAAAGAGATCTACTGTGAAATTGATGCAGCGTCGCAGCCAGGACTCCAAGAAGGTCAAGAAGGTTGCCTACCTCACTCGTATCGTCGGTAGCGCCCGACGATTGTATAAACCTGGAGTCCTCGCTGTCGCTTCGTGGTCTCACCAGGTTCTGGGCCTCACTCCTAGGCAAATTCAGCCGATGAGGGCCCAAGCGACCATGTTTAGTGGTAGATGGTCCCCTGGGGCCTGCACTACCACGGTCTTAGGGGCTCATCAGTGCTGCCAAGGATGACCCCCAGTTTAGGCTTCGCTACGAGCAACTTGTTAGTTTCTACGATGTTTGGCAAGATCTTGATCCTACTAAACGGTTGGAGGTTGCTCGGTGTTGGGAGCTTACTGTTGAGAAGTTCCGCAAGACCAAACATCGATGGCAACGTGTTCGCGGCCCTTTACCTGCGACTGTGGCGGCTTTGTTCGACCTGAACGTCTTGCCGCATAGTCCTGTGTATTGGCTCTTTCCCAATGGAGTGCATATCCGCTTCAGGGACCAGGCTTTCCCCCAGACCCTCTGGCTCACGCTCATGGAGGTGTGCGGGGACATGTCGTGGAGCGGGGCTGCCAAACACTATGAAGGATCAGGTTCAGGAGGGGGACTTGTTTTTACGGCCCCGCGGCGTTTTTGAGAAAGCTTGAAAAAGACGGCTCTTTTGAGGCCGCTGGTATGCTTCGAAACGTGATGATTGCTGTGGTTTGGACCGAGGAACGTCTTGCTCAGGCCGGCTACGAGTCGGCCACGGATGGTGTTTGCCCTCGGTGCGGCCACGAGGCCGAATATGTTGCTCATCGCTCTTGGCGCTGCAGGTGCAATGATGACACCCCCGACAGTGCGATCGACCGATCGAATGTCTATAAAGCTGAAGCTTTAAGTTCTCCCGGTTCCTCCTGTTTCTGGATGCGCGGGTTGCCGCCCTTATCCGCCAGTGTTGGGCACCTCCCTGAGCCCCTGAGGCTCGCTTGGGAATGGGGTGCCTTAGGTGTTGGGGCCCGTGTACCCGGGGGATTGGGCGATCGATGGAAGCGTGGGTAAATACCATACGGGTTGGCGTCTGCGGCGATGCGGTTGGGCTATCGTCCACCAAGGTCCTGCTGGCCTTTTCGACGGCGTGGCCAGTGGTACGCAGCCAAGTAAGGTGCAGTCCGCTGGCCGCGCTGAACTTTATGCTCTCTTGCAGTTGTCGAGGCGGTCGACGGGCAGCGTGAGAGTCGATTGCGATAGCATGGCTGTTGTCAAAGGTGCTCGTCGTCCCCTCCGTGCTAAAGCTCAGTCTGCCATGCTCGACCTCTGGAAGGAATGCCATGAGGTTCTGGGGTCTCGGGGCGGGACGGTTGATGTTCGATGGACGAAAGGTCACCCCACCCAGACTCAGGCTTTTCACATGATTTTGAGTGACACGCAGTTTTATGTCAATAGATCTGCTGAGTGTTTCGCGGGAGCGGCTGCTGATGTTGGCCAGGTGACAGAAGACCAGGCCCAACAGACTCCTTATGGCCGATGAGCGGGCTTTCAATTTTCTGGGCCGCGCTTCTGGCTGCGCAGAGAGAAGTTCTGTTTAACGCGGACCGTGAACAAGTGCGGCGTGTTGGCCGTACTCGTAAGTCGGTGCGTTCCGTGGGCGAGCGTTTATGCAGGCTTAAAGATTCTGGTCACCAATGTGTAGTCCGCTCGACGTCTTTCAAGGGCAGCCTCTGTGCGCGCTCGTCTAGTCGTCAAGGTCTTCTCTGCGAGTTCTGGCCAAGTGTATGTAAGCCCCGTGCAGAAATACATCAGCGAATTCAGACCCTCCCTGCTAGGAGCGCACCTGTCCCTCCTCGCAGGGGGCCTTCTTCTCCTCCTGACGACCTTGCGCCTCGGGATGCGGGAGTGGGTGGGGGACTGGATCATCCAGTGGCTGAGCTGTGCCACGCCTCGCACAAGCTAGCCACGTATCGAGGAGCTCTGTTTTGTGAAATCTGTGGGTGTCATTGTGTTGAGAACCCACGGAATTTGAGGTCGGAGTGCTTGCCTCCTACAAAAGCTGGCAATGAAGTGCTCAGCAGACTGAAGAGGGTATAGCCGCCTAAGTCTGGTGGCAGTTTCCCTGATTTGTGAGTTGTCTCAGCGTGCCCAGCCCTGCAGCAGGTCACCACGCATTGAGGTAGAATCGAGTAGAATTCCTGTTCCTCCTCTGCGCACCTCCTCCTCCTCCTCCCCCACTCCCCATCCCCCTCCTCCTCCCCCTCCTCCTCCTCCCTCCTCCTTCCTTCTCCTCCTCCTCCCTCCTCCTCCTCCCTCCTCCTCCTCCTCCCTCCCCCCCTTTTCCTCCTCCTCCTCCCCTCCTCCCCTCCTCCCTCCTCCTCCCCTCCTCCCCCCCCCCCTCCCCCTCCTCCTCCTCCTCCTCTCTCCTCCATCCTCCTCCCCCTCCTCCTCCTCCTCCTCCTCCTCCGCCGCCAGCTTCGGGCTGCTCTCTGGAGGCAGGACTCGGGCCTCGGGACCGCAGGCGCGCACGCGCCGCGGGAGTCAAGAGCCGGATCCCTGGGGACCCGGCCTCGCTCGGACGTGTGCAGTGTCCTTCGGGGGCGGAAAAGAGGGGGGTGATGACTAGGGGGGGGGGGGGGGTATCATGGCGGGGGCCATGATTTTTCCCCAGATTTCATGGCGCCCCTTCTTATTTCATTATGTCCCTGGCCCCCCCGCTGGGCCGCGCACCTGCCGCCGGTCATGATTTGCACACCCCCCTCTTGGACACCCCCCTCTTGGCCGCTCCCGATTCCTCGATGAGGCCAGCGCCAGAAGATGTGTGGACCACGCAGGGATCCTGCAAGAGAACACGAAGAGAGGGAGCGCGCGCGAAGCAGGCAACGAGTGCACGGGGAGTGGGCGTCCGAGCGACGGCGAGGGGCGTCCAGGGGCGTCCAGGGGCGCCCCCTCCAAGAGGCTGCTCTCGGGCCGGGGGTGGGGCGCGCCCCCGAGGGGCCGCGCTTCTGGGGTAGCCCCTGGCCGAGGTCGCCCTCGCGTGGGTCCCCGCCGGTCTGCGGCGCCGCCCACCGACCCCCGACGCCGTGGCGTGTTCGCATCGCGGACCGCCGGCCAGAAGTCCGGGCCGCTCCTCCAGGTCCGGCTGCGGCCAGGCCTGGAGGAGCGACTGGACGCGGCTCATCCGTGCAAGGCAGACGTGCGCATCGCATCCAGGCGCATCAGGAACGCATCCACACGCATCCAGGTGCAGTTCTATAGGAGGTGCGTAGGGACGCATGGATTGCATACCATGATCCGTTTGTATTGCACCTGGACCCAAACGCATCCAAACGCATCCAAACGCATGGGAGGAGAAGCCATGGCTTCTCCTCCCAGATTTCGGGCCGGACGAAAGGGGGGGATTGGGAAAGGGGGGGTACGAAATCTACTGCATGCAGCTGGTTTCGGCCCCACCGAGGGGCCCATTCCTCGATACATAGCCGTCTCCCGCGCTGGGAGGCGCCGGGAAAATCAGCTACGTGAGCTGATTCTCACCCCCCCCCTTTGCGATCCCCCCGCTTCGCCCAGACCGAAGATCTTTCGGTGACAACCCCAGGGTGGCGGCTGCAGGTTTCTTGTCGGTGCTCTTCTGCCCCTGGCGAGACACGGTGCTGATTTGTTCGGCTGGGCCTCCTTCGAGGGCGTATACAGGGGGGGATAGGACACATCGACCCCCGTTGGCCCAATGATCGTCGATATGGGCCCGGTAGCCTCAACCTGCCCAGAAGCGTGCAGATTCGCTATTGGGGGCACATCGCCGATCTATTGGCGATGTATCGCCGATTCCAGGTCGATGTGTCCCCCCCTATGCCAGTCCCCCCCTATCATTGCCCCTCACTCCTTCCTGCCTTCCCTCGCCCCTCCCGTCCCCCCCCGCGCCCTCGAGCCCCCTCTCGCGGCTCGGCGAGCGCGGAGAAGGGATGGGCCCGGCTGGCGATGCCGCAAGACCGCAGCGAGGAGTCGGAGCCAGAGAGCGAGGAGGACTGCTGGGGCGAGGGAGGGAGGATGAGGATGATCGAAGACGAGATTCAGAAAACTTGCGACGGCCCGTGCCGAACTCTTGGATCTGCGCTGGGACCCCCCAGCGGCGCCTTCGGCGCCGCCCCTGGAGCGCTCCGCGCGCATGGGCAGGGTGGTCCAGCGCACATCCGAGGAGATCTGCGCGGACACTTGACGGTTCTTCTCCGTGCCGCTGTCTCTTGCTCCCTGCGACGAGAGAGGAGGCGGCCGCGGTGGAGCATCGAGGTCCGAGCACCGCAGGCGGGGAGCTCGAGGACGTGGGCGGAGCTCCAGGGGGGGCCAGGGGAGGGGGGAGGGTACCAGGGGCAACGAGAAGGGGGGGGACAGGAATAGCTAGGGGAGGGGGGGGACGCATCGACCCCCCATCGCCCACTGATCGCGGCCGATGGCGGAGAACGCCTCGACCCCGAAGCGCCCACCGATCGCGGCCGAGCGCCCCTGCCCGCCCAGGAGGGTGCGGTTTCGCTATGGGGGGCCTATCGCCCGACCTGTCGACGATGCACCGCCGAGTCCGGGCCGATGCGTGCCCCTTTCTGCCAGTCCCGCCCCGTCTCGTTGCCCCTCAGAGAAGGCTTAGGAGCGAGCTTCGAGGAGTGACAGATGAGGAGTCCGAGGACGCGGGGGGGGGGGGGGCAGTTCGGGAGAGGGGGAGCGAAGGACCAGGGAGCAGGAAGGAGGAAGAGGAGGAAGAGGAAGAAGAGAAGGAGGAGGAGGAAGAACGCCACAGCTTCTCTGCACAAGTCTCAGTTGTGCCCAACGTCAAAAGAGGAGGAGGAGGAGAAGGAGGAGGAGGAGGAGGAGGGGGATTGTTGAGCATCAGCTTGTTTTTCTTGTATGTGTGTTCTCTCGTTCGTGTTCGGCCTCCCCGAGGCGTCTCTTCGCCAGTCCTGGGTGCGCCCGAGAGAGGTCGAAGGGAGCACGGGGTAATGGCAATAATGATGATGATGATGATGATGATGATGATGATGATGATGATGATGATGATGATGATGATGATGATGATGATGATGATGATGATGATGATGCTGATGCTGATGCTGATGCTGATGCTGATGCTGATGCTGATGCTGATGCTGATGATGAGTGTGATGGTGATGGTGATGGTGATGGTGATGGTGATGGTGATGGTGATGGTGATGGTGATGATTGTGGTGGTGATGATGTTGAGGGTAATGATGATGATGATGTTGATGATGATTATGATGTTGATGATGATGGTGACTGCCATGCTGCTGATGATAGTGATGCTGGTGATGCTGGTGATGCTCATGCGGATGCTGGTGGTGGCGGCGATGGTGATGAGGCTGATGTTGATAATGGTGATAGTGATGATGATGGAGATGTACATGATGATGGTGAAGATGTTGTTGCTGTTGATGTTGGTGCTGCTGATGATTCTGATGATGCCGATGTCGATGGTGGGTTTGATGTTGATGGCGGTGGTGATGCTGCTGCTGATGCTGCTGATGATGAGATGGTGATGCTGCTGCTGATGATGATACTGCTGCTGGTGATGAATATGGTGATGATGATGCTGATGATGATGATGACGATGCTGATGCTGCGGATGATGATGCTGGTGACGACGCTGTGATGGTGCTGGCACTGACGATGATGACGATGATGATGAGGACGCTGATGATGGTGATGATGACGATGATGATGATGCTGATGATGATGATTATGATGATGAGGATGATGATGATGAGGCTCATGATGATGATGATGATGATGATGATGATGATGATGATGATGATGATGATGATGTTGCTGATGATGATGATGATGATGATGATGATGATGATGTGACGAGATGATGATGATGATGATGATGATGATGATGATGATGATGATGATGATGATGATGATGATGATGATGATGATGATGATGATGTCGATAATGCTGATGGTGGAGGTGATGCTGCTAATGATGATGAGGAGGAGGAGGAAGGAGGAGGAAGGGGAGGAGGAGGAGCAGTATGTGGTTGAAGCGAGAAGAAGGGTGAGGAGGAGGAGGAGGACATGGAGGAGGAGGAGAGGAGGACATGGAGGAGGAGGAGGAGGAGGAGAGGGAGGCGGATTGCAAAGGCGGATGATGATGATGAGGAGGAGGAGGAGGAGAAGGAGGAGTTCGAGGTTAGGGAGGGCGGGAAGGTGAGGGAGTTCCTGCTCCTGCGCCCACTCCCTCGCCGCCAGTGGAGGAGGGAGGACGCAGTCAAGCCGCTGACCTGAGCACCACCTCGGGCTTAGCATTGAGTTGGGCATGTCCCTCTACAGGGGGGATGTCAAACAATAGTTCAAACATAGTCTGGGAACGATTATGTTTGCACTTTTTGCTCATTTTGGGGCATGATTGTTGCAGTTGTAAGTTTTCGCCCCAAACTCCGCCTGGTGGGGGGCATACCCGACCTAAGCTTGGGAGGGGCTCAGTTTTTGGGGGGCCGTCCCTTCGATCCTAGTCGGGGAACCTGGCCGCGGACGAGGCTCGCCGTGACGAGAGGCGCCCCTTCGTTTCTTGTGCATCGCTCTCCGTGGCAGCAGCCCGACTGCAGGAGGGTCGCACCGCGAGGATCACGAACCTCGAGGATCGAGGGCTGCGAGGATCGAAGCTCGAGGATCGAGGACTTCGAGCTTCGAGGGTCGAAGCTCGAGGATCGAGGGCTTCGAGCTCCGAGGATCGCGCTCCGAGGAGCGGGCTCCGTCGCTGGTGGATCGACCATCGAGGATCGAGGGCTGGGCCTCGGAGCTCTGTTGCGGAGAGAACATGCCCCCCCCGGGGATCGACTTCGAGGAGGACCTGCGAGGATCAACCTGCGAGGATCGACCTGCGAGGATCGACCTCGAGGAGGACCTGCGATGATCGACCTCGAGGATCGACCTTCGAGGACCGACCTCCGAGGATCGACATTCGAGGATTGACCTTCGAGGACCGACCTCGAGGATCGAGCCTCGAGGGTCGAACTTCGTCGCGCTCGCGCATCGGACCTCGAGGATGGAGGGCTCCGCCTGGGGCCAGCTGATGGGTGGGGGCAACCGCTCGGGCAGACCCAAGCGCAGGAGGGACGCTCTCCGGGTCTCGCCTCGATCGGTGGTGGGGAGTCATATAACGACACCGCTGCTCGTGTCCCCCTCCCCCTCCCCCTCCCCCCCCTCCTCTTCCTCCTCTACCCTCTCCCCAAAATCCCTCCTTCCTCCTCCCCTCCCCCTTCCTCCTCCTCCTTCTCCTCCTCCTCCTCGTCCTCGCTCCTCCTCCTCCCCCTTTCGTTCCCCTCCATCCTCCCTCCTCCTCCTCCCCCTTCTCCTCCTCCTCCTCCTCCTCCTCCTCCTCCTCCTCCTCCTCCTTCTCCCTCCTCCTCCTCCTCCTCCTCCTCCTCCTCCCCCTCCTCCTCCTCCTCCTCCTCCTCCTCCTCCTCCTCCTCCTCCTCCTCCTCCTCCTCCTGCAGAGCCCTCGGCGCTGCGCCTGGATGCTCATCGACGGGCCAGAGAGGACGTGCCCCCTGGCGAGGTCCAGGGAGCAGCTGTGCGTCGGTGCCTTGTCGGGTGCTGCTAGAATTAAGTCGGGCCCGTCCCTCTACAGGAGGAAAACCAAACAGTAGTCAACACATAGTCTTGGGACTATTCTTTTTCGTATTTGTGATTTTTTTTTTGTTGTTTGCATTTTTGATTTCGTCGACAATCCCCATGTAGGGGGACAGGCCCGACCTAATGCTAGAAGTGCCCCTGGGCCAAGGTGCCCCCAGGATTTTCGGGGTAGCCCAAACGGCCTCCAGAGCACCCCAGGGGGCTCCAGAATGGAGCGAACAGCGGGGGGCACCTTGGGCCAGGGGGACGTCTAGCAACACCCGACCTCACTGTTCTCGAGGCCTCCTAGCAGGCGATCGCAAGCATGGATCAGGAGGGCGTGGATTGGCGACGGGTCCCGTTTCCATGGGAAATCTCTGATTTCCGCCGTCGGACGAGGCAGCACCGGCCGCACTCTGGGGAGGGCACCTCCCCCGATGCATGGATTTGGCGACCGCGCGCCAGATCCATGGATCACTAATCCATGTTTGCGCGCCCCCGATCCTAGATGGGGTCGGGGGATCGTGCCGCATCGGCGATGCATCGGCGATGCGGCTCGATGTGGAGCCCGACTTTCTCCACTGGCGTCGCCGATGCATCGCCGATGTCGGCGATGCATCGCCGATGCATCGGCGATGTATCGCCGATGTGTCGGCGATGCGGTGCGATCCTCCGACCCCACCTACTCCGACCCCAGCTAGCCTCGATGTGCACCGTGCTGGTCGGCGCTGCTCGCCCTGGAGAGCCCTCGCCTCCACGGCTGGATCCTCCTCGAGAAAGTCCGGTCGCAGAGCGCACCCCCCAGGAGGTGTCCGGGGAGCAGCGGTGTCGGGAATTTCTTTTTGGGACAGGGTGCAGCTCCGCCGGCTCTGGCCCAGCACGCTCTGGCGCGATACGCTTTCACTCACAACTTTTTCGTGGTCCCCGGGGCGCCCACGCCCCGGGCTTCTGTTCCGAGACCTCCCACCCCGCGGGGCGGAGCGACGCGCCATCCCGCCTGCAATGCAAAGCGTGTCGCCGGGGCCGCAGCAGGGACACGCCAAGCCTGAGTCTGGCCTGTCCCTGCTGCAGGAGGAACATGATTCAAACATAGGTCCGAACAAATCTGGGGAAGATTTTTGCATTATTCCCCATATTTTTAAGTATTGTTTGGCTACTTTTTTTTTCGTCCAAATCCGCCTGTAGGAGGACACGCCCGATCTAACGCTAAGCAACAGTTCCCCGACCATGTGCCAATACCGCTGCTCGTCCTGAGGAGCCTTCGTCGCCGCGGCTGGCTTCTCCTCGAGGTCTTGGTCACCACGCGCTTCCGGCGAGGTCTGGGAAGTATAGCGTTACGTCGGGCATGTCCCCCTACCGGTGGAATACTCAAAAATAGTATTTTAAAAAGGCGGTGGCCGATTTGTGTTTATGTGTTTTATGTGTTTTAAGTGTGGTTTTGGTATGCTTCATGTTTCGCCAAAGATCCGCCTGTAAGAGGACATGTCCGACCTAAAAGTAGCGGTGTCGGTACCTTTTTGTTCCCCAACGCGAAGTATACCGATACCGGTGCTCGTCTTGGAGATCCCTCGTGTCGAGATCCCTCGTCAGAGCGCACCCCGGGAGAGGTCCGGGGAGTATGGTCACGAACTTTGGGATAGCGTGTGGCTCCGCCGGTGCTGGCCTACCGACCACGCGTCGGCGCGGTACTCTTTCCACCTTCTTGGTCCCCAGGCGTCCACGTCCGGAGCCTTTCCGAGCCTCCCGCCCAGCGGAGCGGAGCGGAGCGCTACCCGCCCGCAGGGCAGAACGTGTCGCCGGGGCCGCTGCGGCAACACTCGGTCCAGACGTTCCCGACCGTACTGGTATCGGTACCTTTTTGCTTCCCCATCCCCCCGCCCCCCGCCAGGCGATCCTTAGACTGAATCGCCGACGCCATGGGTGGGTGTGTCAGAAAACAATTATCGGGTCGGGAGAAGGGGTTGGGAGAGATATCAGATCGTTCGTATTATCGCGTGCGCCCCCCCCTCGGCGAGGGCAAGTCTGCCAGCAAGGACAAGAAGGCGGACGACTCCAGCGGCGACGCATCCAGTGACGAACAGAGCGAGCACGAGGAAGAGAAGTGCAGACCGGCCAAGGCCGTGGAGAAGGATGACTCTTCCAGCGAGTGTGGCACGAGCGACGGCCAGAATCGAGTCAAGAGCAAGAAAGCAAAGAAACGGAAGGCCACGCATAAGGATCGCGATTCCAGCGGTGGCACAAATAGCGGGAGCAGCAGTGCGAAGAAAGGTAAGCAAGCGGCAAAGTCGCGGGTCAAAGGAACAGAGAAAAAGACGGAGAAGGATTGCGCGTCCAGCGACAAAGCGAGTAGCCACAGTCTCAGCGGTGAGGAACATCGAAAGGCTCGCAAGAAGCGCAAGGCCAAAGAAAACGAAACAGATTCCAGTGAGGGCGCCACCAGCCCACGACATGCCAAGGGAAAGGCCAAGAAAGACTCTTCGGACAAGGCTGAGAAGCAGGCCAGGGACATCAGGAAAGACAAGAACAGAGGCAAGGCGACAGAAAAGAGTAAATCCACAAATAAAGACAAGGGCAAGGACAAAAGCAACGATAAGGAGTCGCATACTCAGATAGACAATGACAAGGGAAAGGTAAAGAACAAGAAAAATGGTAAGGATAAGCATACGGATAAGGACAAACAGGACCTGGAGAAGGAGAAGGAGAGGGCCCAAAGCAAGGTGGACAAGGCCAAAGACAAAGCGAAAGTGAAGGATGGCGCCAAGGGAAAGGAGAAGGAAAAGGACAAGGAGAGGGCCAAGGATAAGAAGGATTCGCGACTGTTTGCCTGATGGTGGTCTTGCGAGAATCGATCTGGTTTGTACCCTTGGCGTTCAGAAGCAACCTGAGATCTCGCATCCATTGTCATGGTCCTGCAGTTGGTTTGCATTGTCGCACTCTTTATGTGTTTTTCGCTCTCGATCGGTTGTCTCCATCCCACGGGTACGGCCAACTCATACGTGATCACAAGCATGTTCAAGTGCAGTTTTCCGTTGAATGGTGGCACTCGAATTTTTGACATACATGCCAGAGTTCGTGCTGCGACTGGTCCTTCGCTGCATTGGGCTTCCCTTCGAGATGGATAAGCGTTCAGCTTTCTGGATCATGCTGCACGGCCTCCTCGGCGTGAAGGCTATCGGCATGCATGCGTGCTTACACCGATTTATTATATGTGCACGTCCTGGCGTGAACTACAGTTCGCCGTGGGGCAAGGGCATATGCATGTAAGCGTGCGTGCGACAGCACAGCGCGTATACGTGTACGCATAGAGTGTCTCAAAACCGCGTCGAGCTGCGGCCCAGTACTGTATCGAGATGTCTGCTGCCCATATCTTGGGAAGGAGCGCCATGAGTGTTGTAGAAAGATGTTTTTCTAGCGCTGCGTAGCTGTATAGCCTATAGCGCGATACGTTGACATTGTTGCATGAACATCTACTGTCTCTGCGCGCGTCTCCTCAACTGACCATCGTTGTGGGCGGTTGCCCAGAACTGCATGCGTGTGTCTCTTGTGGTTTTAGCCTATCTCGCCACCGTGCCTGGGTAATGGGCCATATGCCACAGTCATCTTGAATGTCTCCTGGGCTCGCTTGGGTTGCCTCTCGGGGACCTCCTGGAGGCCTCTTGGGGCCTAGGGACGACTCTTGGCGGCCTCTTGGCGGTCTTCAAGGGCATCCTGGCGCTAAATGGCTCCCAATGCCAGTTCGTGGCCCCCCATCCTCCCTCCAGGGCAGTGCAACACGTGTTCGCCAGCGTGGACATCAGACAGAGAGCCAGCCCATCCAGAAACGATGCCCATGAGAGCTGACGGGGGGAGGGAGGAAGAGACACGCATAGATAATCAAACAGCGAGTGAGCCAGCCGGCCGAAGAGACGCGCATAGTCAAACAGCGAGGGAATGCTGTTCCTCTGGGGGAGGCTCCGTGGCCATGTCGAGCTGTCTTGGAGCGGTCTTGGGGCCTCTTGGAGCATCTTGGGAGCCATCTTGAGCCAGCTTGGGGTATCTTGGGCCATCTTGGAGGTCATCTTGGGCTCTGTGAGGCCGCTCGGGGGCCTCCTGGGTGCCCCATCGGGTGCCTCGTGGAGGCCTCGTGGGACCTCTCGGGGTGCTCTTGGAACCCCCTTGGGGGCCTCTTGGGAGCCCTGGGGGGGCCTCTGGGGGCCATCTTGGAGGCGGTCGGTCAACAGAGGGGGGGTCCTAGATGCAGCTCCCCCCCTCGGGTGCCACGATCCTAGTGAGGGGCGTCAAAAAGTGACCCTCCCAGGGGCCGAATGACGCTACCGAGGAACCCCACATGCCTAGTTTGTGTCGCGTGTGTTCGCAGACCGTCGTCGCTCATCTGAACCATTACAGTCTTCATCGCCAACCATGGAGGTGGCAGCGCGTCCACGGCGATTTCGGGGGGCGTCGCTGCCGCGCGCAGGCAAGGCGGTACTTTGAAGTAGGACTACAAGAGCGCGCCTGCGTGCAAGCGCAGGCGCGCCGAGCCGGCTTGAGCCAACGTGTTTACAGTTCTTGACAAGACACACGTTCCCACCCCGAGCGCACCCCCCTGCGGCGTCGAGGAAATGCCACGCCATGCGAGCCTGCAGCGCATTGGGCCCCCACCCCCAGCGCACCCCTGTGGCGTCGAGGAAATGCCACGCCTTCCACGCCCTGCAAGCCTGCAGCGCATAGGGCCCCCCCCCAGCGCACCCCCTGTGGCGTCGAGGGACTGCCGCGCCTGCCACGCCCTGCGAGCCTGCAACGCATAGGGCGCCCCCCCTCCAGCGCCCCCCCCCGTGGCGTCGAGGGAGCGCAACGCCTGCCACGCCCTGCGAATCTGCAGCGCATAGGGCCCCCACCCCCAGCGCACCCTCCTGGCGTCGAGTAAGTTCCACGCCTGCCACGCCTGCCACGCCCTGCGAGCCCGCAGCGCATATGGCCCCCACCCCGAACGCATAGGGCCCCCCACCCCCCGCGCACCCCCTGTGGCGATCCCCTGTGGCGTCGAGGGAATGCCACGCCTGCCACGCCCTGCGAGCCTGCAGCGCATAGGGCCCCCCACCTCCAGCGCACACCCTGTGCGCCGAGAAAATTCCACGCCTGCCACGCCCTGCGCGCCTGCAGCGCACAGGCCCCCCACCCCCAGCGCACCCCCTGTGGCGTCGAGGAACCTGCAGCGCATAGGGCCCTCACCCCCATGTGGCGTCGAGGAAATGCAACGCCTGCCACGCCCTGCGAGCCTGCAGCGCATGAGCCTGCAGCGCACAGGGCCCCCACCCCCAACGCACCCCCTTGTGGCGTCGAGGAAATGCCGCGCCTGCCTCGCCCTGCGAGCCTGCAGCGCATAGGGCCCCCTCCTCCAGCGCACCCCTTGTGGCGTCGAGGAAATGCCACGCCTGCCACGCTCTGCGAGCCTGCAGCGCATAGGGCCCCACCCCCAGCGCACACCCTGTGGCGTCGAGGAAATGCCACGCCTGCCACGCCCTGCGCGGCTGCAACGCATATGGGCCCACCCCGAGCGCGCCCCCCGTGGCGTCGAGGAAATGCCACGTGCGCCACGCCATGCGAGCCTGCAGCGCATAGGGCCCCAACCCCCAGTGCACCCCCTGTGGCGTCGAGGACATGCCACGCGTGCCACGCCTTGCGAGCCTGCAGCGCACCCCCTGTGGCGTCGAGGAAATGCCACGCGTGCCACGCCCTGCGAGCCTGCAGCGCACAGGGCCCCCACCCCCAGCGCACGCCCTGTGGCGTCGAGGAAGCGCCGCGCCTGCCACGCCATGCGAGTCTGCAACGCATAGGGCCCCCCCACCCCCCGCGCACCCCTTTGTGGCGATCCCCTGCGGCGTCGAGGGAATGCCACGCCTGCCACGCTCTGCGAGCCTGCAGCGCATAGGGCCCCCTCCCCCAGCGCACCCCCAGTGGCGTCGAGGTAGTGCCGCGCCTGCCACGCCCTGCGAGCCCGCAGCGCATATGGCCCCCACCCCGAACACACACCCCGTGGCGTCGAGGAAATGCCACGCCCTGCGAGCCTGCATTGCGAGAAAGTGCACGATTGGGGCGTGCTATGCACGTGCTGTGCTGTGATGTGTTGTGTTGTGCTCTGTTGAACTGTGCTGTGCTGTCCTGTGCTGTGCTGCGGTCTGCTGTGCTGCGATGTGCTGTGCTGCGTGAAAAGGAGGGGGGAGGCGGGAGGTGATGAGGGAGACGCGGGTGCGACGCGGATGAGAAGAAAACCATAACCCCACGAAACTTATGGGGAACAAAGGCCCTCTGACACACTGCCCCCCCCAAAAAAAACACACAGGGAGGGGAGGGGGACCTCCCCGAAGGGAAGAGGGGTCGTGAAGAGGAAAAGCCTCGTTTGACCACCTGTCGCCCCGAGGGCTGGTGGGATTGCGCTGTGGAGGTGGGAGATCTGTGGTGCGACCTGTGTTGTGTGAGTTGTGTGGTGTGCGCGCAGTTCTGTAAGACACATGTAGCGTGAGCCATGCTACGCAAGCAATGCGAGGTGACCCACGTGGTGTGGGCTACCTTGTGTCAGACACGTTGCGTAAGCTGTATGGTGTGAGCTCCGTTGTGCAAAACATGTTGTCCGCTACCCACCCAGTGCACGGGGAGCCCACGAGCGCCTACGTGGCGCCCGCGGCCACGCGGCGAAGCTTCGGCACATCCCCCAGCACGTTGCGCCCACGGGGCGGGCACCAGGCGAAGCCTCGGCACATCCCCCCGAGTCGGGGCGCCCACCAACCTGGCAACAGCCGAGATCCCCGCGTACTTATGCATTCGGTCAGACGGAAAAGTCAGAGGGTGCAAGCATCGTTTGGGGAATCGGACACACGATCTATCCAACATGAAGACAGGCGACACGCCCCTTTGAGCACGCGAGAGCGCCCAGAAATGCTTCTTCTGGGCCCCATCCAGGAGCGTTTCCAATACCCAGTGCAAAGACCTCGAATGAACCTGAGGACACTCCACTCTTTGCCTACGGCACAGCGGATTCGGGTGTGCACTCCGAGCGGCACGATACTATGCTTCGAATGTGGAGAACACGTGTGTTCCTGCGAACGGTCACCTTCTCACGCGCTCCCAGCTTTGCGCCTCGTTGGTCCGTGGTGCTG